TCCACCAAACATTTGCAAGCAACTTGAAAAGTTTGTTTTTCAGACAAGATATCGCGAAACATACCCGTTAGCGACTTCAGAGCAACTATCAGTAGCGTGAAGCTTCGCCATGGCACAGAGAGAAGCAGCAGCTGGATCCTTATTGTCTAAAAATTTTGTAAGACAAGAAATATTAAATTCTTTGTTTACCAATAGCCGAAGCTGCGTGTCGAACCATAAGTCGCGAGGTCACCAATTGCGTAGCAAGTTCGGCCATTTTGTACTGAAGATACTGTTGTCTGTCAAGAGTCTGTCCGAACGCCTTTCGCACGCCGATATGTTCTTTGCGGCTAAGATGGCCTTCTGGGCGCCACCGAGAGAGCAGCTAGCGATATTTACTCGACCACCGTTAAGACCAGACATGGCAATATTGAAGCCTTTGCCTTCGACGCCAAGAAGATTTTTGACTGGCACTCGGCAGTTTTCCATGATAAGAACTCTAGTCGGATGGGACTTCCAGCCCATTTTAGTTTCGTCCTTTCCGAATGAAAGACCAGGAGTATCTTTTGGAATAAGAACGCAAGAAATTCCCTTTGGCCCCTTAGTGGAAGGGTCAGTTCGGACCATGACGGCATAGAGATCATGGACGCCTGCGCCGGAGATGAAGCACTTTGAGCCGTTGAGAACATAGTCATCGCCATCACGAATGCAAGTAGTAGCCAAAGCAGAGGCATCGGAGCCGGAGCCAGGCTCAGTAAGACAGTAAGAGCCGATGATTTCGCCGGACGTCAATCTTGGGCAAAATTCTTCCCGCTGTTCGGGAGTTCCGTTAACATCGATCATCCAGGATACCATATTGTGAATCGTCATCATGGCCGTGGTGGGAACACAATGCTCACTCAGTGCCTTAATTTATTGTAAATTATTGGGTTTCAGAGGAAAATTCTGCTCAAGATCGGGGCTCGATGATTGTACCTTCTTTGAAGAAATATCTAAAATCATCTGCGAAAATATCTTTTATGAGCACTGGCTTTATAAGGGATGGGGTTGATATAAATAAATCGTCAGCGAGTATATCTACCTCAACAACAATAGACGTTTCCAATCGGGAAAGGCCCATGCCTCCAACATCTTCGGAAGTATACAGTCCAAGAAAACCTTGTTCAGCTGAGGACTACATAAATTTTTGAGGATAAGCAATCGTTGTCAGATCCCAAGACGGAAAACATCCATCTTCATTTATCATTTTACCTTGATAACGTCGATTGGATAGTGGCATTTAGCGTCCCACTCAGCCGAGTACGGACCGAGCTCTGCGGCACCCCACTTTTGAGCGGCGTCTTGCCAGACAAGCTGATCCTCGTTGAGGCCAGTTCCAGGGAAAACTGGAGATCCAGCAGACAGGGCTCGCTGCGAAACTCCCTTTCGTACCAATCGAAGCATCTGAGAATTGAAACAAATTAAATTTAAATTATTAAGTAGATATTTTCAGTGAAGAAAAATATGTGAAGCAGCAGTAAAAATGACAATATTTTTTCAATAAATGAGCTCTAAAGAAGTGAGAGTGAAATGTGTTTTGGTCAAGAGTTGGTTAGCTTGAAGGGCCGTTTAACTACAGTCATTTTCGATTAATAATTTGTGATATTAACTATTTTTCGATTAACTTTTTGAGTCCTTTTTCTACAGCAAGAATAGATGTCTCCGATGGAGCGATGGATTCGAGATCACTGTCGTTTCCATCAGCGTCAGGGTTCTCTTCTCTTCGTTTTCTAGCCTGAAGACGCCTCTTCAAACGATCAAGAGATGTTTCGGGCTTTTTTGTTTCTTCTGGTTTGGGCGATGACTCCTTCAATTTTCCGAAACCACCAGAAGATGATGCAGCAAATAGTTTCTTTGGTGAAGGACTTGGTGATCGTGAATCTTTGCCTTCTTTACGCTCCCGCATCCGCTTTAGAAGTCTTGCCTTTTGAAAATTTGTATGGTTTTAGGATGAAGAATACAGTACCTTTAAATCGTTCGTCGTGACGTCTGATTTTGGTTTGATATCATCAAAAGCGTCAATAGAGTCTCTGCGAGAACGCTCTTTCTTTTTACCCTATGAGCATTTTAATAACTAGATTACTTCATTAGTACGAACCTCAGACGAGGAGTCTCGTTTTCGTTTTGAGCTTCGCCTTTCAGGTGCAGCTGTCGATGAAGGTTTTGGGGTTTTAGATCGCGATCTGGATTTCTTTGTTGGTTTCCTTTCTGCTGATCTGCGTTTCGGGGTTTTCGACCTTGAACGTCTACTTTTTGAAGTTGAAGGCTGGGATTTATCATCTCGATTTCGTTCTGGGCTCACCCACAACGTAGGCATATTTTCGAAATTTTCCATATTGCTTTTTGCGTCTTTCGCTTCAGCAGCCCGTTGACCTCGCGTCTTTCGCGGGGAGTACGCTCTCGCCTTGACAGGAGAAGGAGATTTTCGACGTTTTGAGGCCTTCGACTTTTTCTCATGAGAATCTTCTGTTCTATCGCGATGTTTGCTGTAACTCTTGTTCGGCTTTGAGGTCGTTGGACTTCGATCGGAAGGTCGAGACGATTCAGCAGTTTTTTTGATACTAGCACTGGAACGCGTTGAGCGAGGCTCTGGAGATGATTTCCTCCTTGTTTTTCGTCGATCGGGCATCAAATCTTCTCGCGGTTCGGGGGATGATTTTTTTCTCGTACGCCTTCGATCGGGCATCAACTCATCCTTTTTGGTGATTGATGGCGGCGGGACGGGGCGTGGCTCATCACTTTTCTCCGTTGGCGCTGCCCAAGAAGGCGTTCGACCTTCAATTGATTTAGATTCTTCAGTTGAAGTCCTTGGTTCTTGTCGCGATTTCCTGCTCCTGGGTGGCGAGACGGGCTTCGGGGGAGCATCTCCAAAGGCGGATGTTTCTGGCGGAGCGGGGTCGAACTCTGTTTCAGAGTCAAGATCTACTGAGTGAGTGATTTGCTTCGCTGGCTTTGACGGCTTTATGGTCAAAGAAACTGGTTTTTGCTCCGTGGGTGATGTAACTCGTCTGCATAATTGGATATTAAATGCAAATAAAATAGACAATAAATTTACCTGACAATCTTTTCAGCATTTTTCTGCGCGGCGGCTAATTCTGCCGGATTCAGAACGTCAAATGATGGCCTCAGTGTAGTAGAAATCTCAATTTCCAGCTCGTCCTCCTCGTAGTCTGATTGTTCCGCTGCCGTTTCATACTCATTATCCGTCTCAATATCAGTCATAATTGGCTCTTGAGCATTCGTAATCGAATCAAAGAAGGTCTTCGACTTGACGCGTTCGGCAACTGACTGTTCCGGCTCAGGATTATTCTTCTCTCGTTCTAGTTTCTCCTATATTCCATTATTTTTTTTGACCGAGCGACAACTGTAAATTTGAATATGTTACCAATGATTACATGTCAACGGATGTTTTCTACCATATTTCCTCGCAACAACAAAACGCACGTTGACAAATAAATAATTTGAAATAATCATTCCAAAGAATATTTTACCAACCTTTAACTCGTCAAACATCTTGTGAATATCAGTTTGATATTCGACCGGAGCTCCTTTCGTATCAAATCGTACAGAACCAAACGGAAGGAAAGATTCTCGCTCGATCAGCCGTCTACGAATTTTCTCCTTCAAACTAAACTCTCGCTCCATTTTTGAGAAGTTCTCCTTTCCGTACTCTTCGAATTCTTCCTTTGAAGGAACAACCTCGCCCTCCTCAGTTGGTGATGGGAGATCAAAGAACTCTTGGTCAGTGTGGGGCTCAGATTCAGAAGAGATTTCATGAGGCTGACTTCTTCTCGCGCCGTGTTCATTGTCACTAATTTCGGAATCAGATGAGATTTCTTGAGGTTTCTCATGTTCATCTCCCTCGTTTTCACCGCCACTATTTGTCGAGGAAGACTTACGCTCAGCATCTGAATCGTCACCCTTCCGTTTCTTGCTGAGGGATGAAATTTTTTCGTCGATTTTCTTGAGTACTTTTTCTTTGAGATTCTCCTCGAGCTCTTCGAGTTTCTCTTTCTTTTTGCGCTTCTTCTCTTTCTTCTCTTCTTTCTTGCGTTTCTTTTCCCAGCGTTCTTCTCGTTTCTTCTTTCTTGCGTCACGCTCGTCCTCTGGAATGTCTCGTATCTTTTCCGATTCCTTTCCATAACGCCGCGAATGCAAGATATCCACGATATCATCAACCATATTTTCATCTCGGCCATCAACATCTTCTGGCCTACGCCTGTCATCCCTTCTCCTTCGAGATGATCTATCTTCAGGTGAGCCGCTATATCTTCTTCTTCGATGAGATCTATCTTCTGGTGAGCTACTATAATGTCGACGTCTGCTAGAGCGATCATCGTGCTCTGCTGAATATTTTCTTTGTCGCTGAGGCGATGAGTCTCTTCCATGTCGACGACCGATAGCATCACGAAGGCGATCATTACCAGCTTCAAAGACTCGCTCTTGGCTATCCTCTTCGTCAGAATAACGAACACGATTTTCGTAACTCTGTCTCCTTCGTCTCCGTTCAGGACTGATAGGTCTCTCGCGCTTTTCCATATCACGCTCGCGCCTTGCTTCATAATCAGCTCCTTTGGTCCCCCATCCGTGAGCTTCTTTTTTGCCTTCATACATTTTATCAACATCTTGACGCATGCGTTTTCTGTCGAAGCCCCACTTTTCAATAGGCATCAAATCAGTGGTATTATTCTGTTCTGTGCTACGCCATCCTTTGTGTTCTTTCGCCTTGATTCCATGCTTGACACAATACCAATACGGAATCTTGTCTCTTTCCATATCAAAATCGGGATGATCAGGGCCCCATCGAGGTGTTCCGTCTGGGTAGAAGCCAGACACATTCTTGTATCGCTTCTTATCGTATTCATTGCGAGTGAACTCGGGAGATCCACTCGACCGCCGACGACGGCGGGGAGGGGATCGGCGAGCTTCACGCGGAGGCGATCTTCTATCGCGATCGTCTCGTCTATGTCGACCATCTCTACGAACGCGCCAGTCCGGAGAAGGCGATCGATATCTGTCACTTTCTTTATGAAGGTATCGTCTGCGGCCCATTTCGTCGAAGTACAAGCCATCGCGTTTACGTTGAGATCTTCCACTAAACGTATCAGGAGCTCTGTCTGACATCTGATAAAGCTCTTCGTTCATATCCATGATCTCTTTCTCGGACATGCCAGCAATCGTGAAACTTGGAACTTCAATCCTTTCTACGCCATCGACGAAAGTCACCTTTGAAGAGTCACCAAAGGTTTCAGCTTTTCGGGATGAAGCCTCATCTATAGTTCGTTCCCGATACTGCTCTTTCAACTTTTGGAGATCTGATTTTCCGACCCACTGAGATTGTGGGATGCCTGGTGGTGGTTTATGAGCGTATTTCTTCTTTCGAGCACGGATATCGCGCTCTTCATCAGAAACAGTGTACTCATCACGGCGATGTGGGATTCTGTATTTACCCCTTTCAGTTCTTTTGCGTCGCGGGTTGTAGTAGTCTGAATCACCACTGTCGGAGTCTGATCCAGAGGAGCTCGACCCTTCGGAATCTGTTTTTCCAGTCAAATCAAAACACTCGTCTGGGACCAGATTGTCAAATTCTTCAGCAAATCGATTCTTGAGTCGAGCTGGAACAAAGTCCTCATCTACAGGTTCTGCCTTTACATCATCGTAGGTCGCATTTCTATTACGAATTCGGTCTTCTCGATCGTTCACTTCCTGTCCAAGTTGATATAAGAAGTCTTCATGATGAAGATAAGCCATTTGAGACCGGAAAGCATCTTCTTTTGCTTTCTTCTTAGCTTCAGCGATTCTTTTTGCATCTTCATCTTCGGACTCCGATGATGAAGCTTGGTCTTCAAGTTGCTTTGCTTCCTCTCGAAGCTGTTCTAGTTCCTCGAACATCTTTTTGTAAACAAGAAGCTTATCATCAAATGAGAGAAGTTGGTTGTTAGAATCCAAAAGAGGTGTTGCGGTAAGTTTGTTGATCCAGGCATCTTCATCATTATCTGGATCTTTTGGTGGATTGAACTGCGGAACGGGTTGTCCGCTGTCTTCGGCGTCGATTTCGGCCCGCACTTCATCCATAACGCTCTCATTGGTAGCATTTGGATGAGCATGTTCAGTGATTGGCAACCCTTGTGGGACAGAGCCCTGACCACCCATGGTCTCGTTCGTCATGTATATCATCATGTTGTAAGCAGCGATTTTCTGTGATTCCGTGGCGAGATCATCCTGTCTATTCATGTAGTATTTTTGTCTACCACCACATTCGTTTTGTGTACGTTTGAAGCCATGTGGATTCCCATCAGAAGCATCAAGCCAGTCAGGTGCCGCCGTTTGAGCGTATTTTCCCTTGCCGACGAAGTAGTTTACTCCTTCACTTTCCGTATTCTTTATGTGTTTTTCGATATTCA